TGCCGGAGCGCCACTTTCAGCATCAACAGTTTTTTTGCGTGGCTCGAGTGGGAAACTGGGATAGAGGAGGTGAGGTGGCCAGCGTCTTTGGGGAAGATGTCATCACTGTGCCTGCCGAGCCTTCTCGCCCTCCCCCAGGTGGCGAGGCCTGAGCGGCTCCCAGCCACCGACCCACCAAGCCTCCCCCCCCCAACAGTGGCGAGACAGTTCCCAGAGCGTTCTCTGCACATGTGCAGGGAACGCTCTTTTACTTTTGGGGGGATTTAAGTATCCCCCTTATAGTTTTCAAACTTTTCAGCTTTTTCTGCCATATAGTGTTTTAAACTTCTCAGATTTCTCTGCACACCTGGGGACTGCTCCAAGTATGCAGGAAAATCTCTCTGCCCCCTGTGTGCCCCCGATGTGCGGATTTAGATATCCGCACAGAGGGGGCCTCTTGGCTATTAGTATATATACAAGTGGAGCCCCGCAAGAAACTTGTGGGATGGTTATCCCATTCCTCACACCTTTGCTTCCTCCCCTCTCTCACTCTGGGAATCACAACGGATTTCCCAGCTACAGTGATCAATTCACCTTAGGGCTGCCAGCTGCAGGTTGGGAAATTCCTGGAGATTTGGGGGTGGAGCCTTGGGACAGTGAGTATTGGGGTGGCAAGCAGCCTCAACAGGATATAATGCCACAGACTCAACCCTCCGAAGCAGCCATTTTATCCAGGGAAACTGATTTCTGTCACCTGGACAACAGTTATAATTCTGGGTGATCTCCAGCTGGCAATGGTAGTTCTCGTGGAGAAAATGGCTGGTTTGGAGGGTGGATTCTATGGCCTCATACTGGTCTGTAGTTCCTTCCCTCCTCAAATCCCATCCTCCCCAGGATCCACCCCTCAAATGTCCAGGAATTTCCCAGCCTGGAGTTAGCAACACAATTTCCTTCCCACCCAACAGCCAACCTACCTTTATCTGCCTCTGTCTTCAGCTGTTCGTCTCCACACTCCTCCCCCACAGCCTCTACCTAGGAAAATTACAGTCTTTCTCCACAGTGGGGACCAAAGCAGCTTACATTATTCTCGCCTCCTTTTATCTGCACAACAACCCAGTGAGGTTGGATAGGCTGAAAGTATGTGACTGGTCCAAAATCACCCAGTCAGCTTCCACTGCCTCACATTCAACAAGTCATGTAGGCGATGGAGAAGCTAGAAGCTGGGTCATGTGACTGCAGGCGTGGTCTCCAAACTTCTAGCCGATCCTATGTTGCAGCTATGACAACCAACAATTGGGCACACCCATGCCCACTCGCAATTGGCTAATAGCCACAGCTAATTTGTGACAGGAATTGGGCTATAATTGTTTGATTCCTATGGGAATGAGCTCTCTCTTAGCTCTTGCTCTCTGCTCTCTCTGCTTGTTTTATTGCACCTGAAATGCAGCCCTTGAGGGACAAAGGGTGACTTTGTGAACTGGATGCATGCTTGCACAAGATGGGATTCCTACTCAGAATCCCTTAGTGCTAACTGGATTATCACAATGGACAATCTTGAACTGTTTGGATGTTCCTGAACTTGGTAAATATGTATCTTACTGTGTAGTTAAGGCAAATTGCCTTAGGCTTGTTATTTTGGTAAACTCTGGTAGTCTATGCTAAGCTCTGTACTGAATAAAGCATTATTCTTGTTTCTAAATGGTCCCTGATGTTGTACCTGAGTTCCAAGTCTAAATCTGGTGACCAACCCTGACCACATACGCTACCTTGGTAAGAGTGTGCATCTCTGAGTGAGTTGCTATTGTGTTAAATCCCAGATGCTAACTAAGGGTTTGGAATCTCTCCCTTAGGAAAGGCAGGGACTAGTGAAAAGAGGTTCTGGTGGCATATTGTTCTGAAAACCTGAGAGGGTATAGCCTACCTCTGGGTTTGTTGTTTAATGTACTGAAAAAGTACAGGATTGCCTCTCATCCCTGGACTGGCTTGGGTGGCTAATACCTGTACAGCTGGACAGTGGGATGGGGCTTGGGAAGGAGTGCCTTTGGTGCTGAGGAATCTTTCCAAACCTGGTAGAGCACCTGGAAGTGATGTCATCACTTTTGGGATGTTGGAGCAACACTCTGGTATTTAAGCAAAAACTCTATGGTAAATTTGGCTTCTACCATAGAATTTTACCCAAATATCAGAGCATCACCCCGATGACCTGGATATGTTGATGTCACTTCCAGGTCACATGGGCAGTGACGTAGATACATTGCTGCATATTGGATGGCTCTCCTTTTTTTTTGGGTAAGCCCCTCCCTGCTGGCCAGTTGATTGGAGGCAGGGCAGTGGGGCCTGGCAGTGAGGGTCCCCTGCCTCGACTGGGGGATCTGGCAACCCTAGATGTCTGCAATGGCTGTTTGTGAAGAATTGCAGATTGAAAGTAAATACATACCTTTCCATATGGACTAAATATGAAGAAATATTCCTATAATCATTGTCATCTCCAAGCACTTATTACATAGCCAACAGCCTATAAAGGCCCCTTTCTATTCACCTTCTCAGTTCTAGCCAAATCCTTTCTAATCCTGAATATTGAATTATGTTTTTAAATAGACTTAGTAAAATTGTCTGATTAACATAATTTATTCTGATCACATAATTTGGCCCTTAATAGAAGGCAATTCTTTTTTCTTCAGATTTAGGAAGACCCATGACTATGTAGGAAAAGCTGTTGGGGGAGAGCGAGCCCTCTGGCAGAAATAAGTATCCGCACGGGGGGGCAGCTTGGCTATTAGATATATAGACAAGGGTGGACCCATAAGAAACTTGCGAGGAGGAGGCATTCCCCCACCACCTTTGCTTCCTTCCCTCTCCCCCTCCCCCTCCCCTTTCTTTCTCTCCCCAAGCCAATCCCTCCTTTTTCTTTACAACCCTCCACCAAGTCGATCCCTCTTTCTTTCTTTCTCTCTCCCCCTCCGCAAGCCATCTCCCTTCTTTCTCCCGCCCCAAGCAAATACTCCCATCTTTTCATTTCTCCCCCCCCCCCAAGCCAATCATCCCCTTCTTTCTCCCTTCCTTTCCCCCTAACTTTGAGCCCGGCGGTGGCGGCAGTGCCTGGGAGGCTGAGCCAGTGCAGGCTCAGCCGTAAAGCCACCCGCCGCTTCCCGCCCCTCTTTGCACTCGGCTTCCCAAAAGCGGGAAAGCCTGTGAAGGCCTCGTTGCTAGGAAAGCTGTTGCTAAGGGCAGTCACTTTCCAAGGAGAGAAAGGGAGGGGGGGGGAGAAAGCGCCTCATGGTAAGTCCGTTCTCTGCTCCTGAGCAGAAAAAGCTGTTGTAGTTTTGGGGGGATTTAAGTATCCCCCGTATTCTTTTTTTAAAAGTTTTTAGATTTTTCTGCACACCTGGGGAGTGCCCCAAATGTGTAGGATAATCTCTTTTCTCTCCATGTGCTCCAATCTGCAGAAATAAGTATCAGCATGCAGGGGGCCATGTTGGGAATTAGATATATAGACAAGGGGCGGGACCCGCGATACTCGCGGGGGGGGAGGGACCTCCACACATGAGGCAGAGGAGGAAGCAGCAGGAGGTAAGTCCCCCCCCTATCCCGCTGGTTCCTCCCCCGTCTTCTCCACCCCCTCGATTTCCCTCCCTTGCCGTCCTCCCCCCTCTGAAGTGAGGCCCGAACGGCTTGCCGCTCAGTCCTCACTGCTCTCTCTCCCCTCCCCGGCTCTCTCTTCCTCTCCCCCCCGCCTC